AGGTGTATCATTGGAGCTGCTCTGGAATTTGTGTTGCACAAGTTCTTTGAACCCATTATTGAAGACTGTCAAGCCAATACATAGAGAGTGCTCCAGCCTAGCAAAAATACCTCAAATATCTCTGGCTTGCTAAGTGGCTAGAAATACATTTTAAGAGTCGGGCAAGCTCATGTAGGTTAGGGAGTCTAGGGAGGCGATGCATCCATTTTTGTGGCAGACAGTCCTTTTAGCTGAAGGATGAGTGATCTGCATAAAAGAGGTAGATTGTCTGTTTTGAAGAAGCTGTGAGATGCAGGATACCCTAAATGATCTACAAGGTCTCACACCTGTAGCAGAATAGCAGTCAGAGAAGGTGTGACAAAGACAGCAAAGAAAACCAAGAGGCATTGATTGGAGCATCTTGATGCTAAAAGATATTGAAAATACATGTCTAATGCAGTTTGAAGACCGAATACATGAGCTGAATGTTCAGATTTGGGAAAGCTCTAGTGGAAGTGCAGGTGACAACTGTATAAAAGTGCTAGTAAGTGTTACACATGCAGTGGTCCACCACATGCTGAGAGACTAACCCCCTAAGGATACATCCTCTTTGCATAAGTTAGATTAGAAGTAAGTACTAATGTAAGGGAGCATTGTTATCCAACTGTGATTACTTTTGTAAAGCTAAAGGATATGCAGTGGTTATTATAGCATTGAAATCTTTTATAGAAGTAAAGTAAGAATTACTTATCACCAGGTCTTCATATTAGTAGTGTTTCTTAGTGATACAATGACACATTAACAAAGTTTTTAAACAAACTTTAATCTAGTGTAATACTCTATACTCTTTTCTCATACAGGCCTTACAGTAATGATAAGTTCAATGTGTAATTTCAATATTTTTGAAGGAAGAAATGTGAAATACTGTCTTCTTGCCAGTTCAGATAAAATAGTTACATATAGGAGAGGATCTGGTTTGAGACCATCTCAAGAACCTGAACATACACAAGTCCATGGGACCTGATGGAAATCCATCCGTGGGTCCTGAAGGAGCTGGCAAATAAAGTTGCTAAGCCACTGTCCATTGTATTTGAAAAATCATGGCAGTGAGGTGAAGTTCCCGATGACTGGAAAAAGAGAAATCTAACCCCCATTTTCAAGAAGAGGAAAATGGATGACCCAGGGAATCACAGACCAGTTAGTCTCACCTCTGTGCCTGGCAATATCTTGGAGCAGATTCTCCTGGAAGGCATACTAAGGCAGATGAAAAACAATGAGGTGCTTGGTGACAGCCATTATGGGTTCACTAAGGGGAAATCCTTCCTGAAAAATTTGGTGGCCTTCTGTGATAGGGCTATGGAACTGATGGACAGGGGTAGAGCAGTTGATGTCGTCTACCAGGACTTGTGCAAAGCGTTTGACACTGTCCCACATGACATCCTTGTCTCAAAATTGGAGAGACATCAATTTGATAGGTGGACCTCTCACTCGGTGCATAAAGAACTGGCTGGATGGCCACATGCAAAGAGTTGTGGTCAATGGCTCAATGTCCAGCTGGAGACCAGTAACGAGTGGTGTCCCACAGGGATCGGTGCTGGGACCGATCTTGTTCAACATCTTTGTTCAACATCTTGTTTTTGCAAGTTTGCCGATGACACCAAGCTGTGTGGTTCGGTTGATACGCTGGAGGGAAGGAATGCCATCCAGAGGGACCTCAACACGCTTGTGAGGTGGGCTGATGCCGACCTCATGAAGTTTAACCATGCCAAGTGCAAGGTCCTGCACTGGGTCGGGGCAATCCCAGGCACAGCTACAGGTTGGGCAGAGAAGAGATTCAGAGCAGCCCTGAAGAGAAGGACTTGGGGCTGTTGGTCAACGCAAAACTTAACATGAGCTGGCAGTGTGCTCTTGCAGCCCAGAAAGCCAACCGTATCCTGGGCTGCATCAAAAGGAGCGTGACCAGCAGGTCAAAGGAGGTGATCCTGCCCCTTTACTCTGCTCTTGTGAGACCTCACTTGGAGTATTGTGTGCAGTTCTGATGTCCTCAACATAAAAAGGACATGGAACTGTTGGACTCATGCCCAGAGGAGGCCCACGAGAATGATCAGGGGACTGGAGCACCTCCTGTATGAAGGTAGGCTGAGAAAGTTGGGGCTGTTGAGCCTGGAGAAGAGAAGGCTGTGTGGAGACCTCATAGCAGCCTTCCAGTATCTGAAGGGGGCCTATAGGAATGCTGGGGAGGGACTCTTCATTAGGGACTGTAGTGATAGGACATGGGGTAACAGGTTAAAACTTAAACAGGGGAATTTTAGATTGGATATAAGGAAGAAGTTCTTTCCTGTGAGGGTGGTGAGGCACTGGAATGGGTTGCCCAGGGAAGTTGTGAATGCTCCATTCCTGGCAGTGTTCAAGGCCAGTTTAGACAGAGCCTTGGGTGGCATGGTTTAGTGGGAGGTGTCCCTGCCCACGGCAGGGGGTTGGAACTAGATGATTTTAACGTCCTTTCCAACCCTAACTATTCTAACTTGAAAATGTTGTTAGCTCTATAACACAGCACTGGAAGTACTGCCGTGCTTCGTGTAATTGCACAGGAACTGTATACAGACTTGAGTGATTTTGAGGAGACATTGACCCAATGGCTCAAATGTAATTTTAGGATAACATTGGTGTTTTAACGGATGTGGTTTTAAATCTACCATGCTATTAAACACAAAGGGCAAATTTATGCTTGGCATAGGTCCCTTGGCAGTGTTGGCACTAAACCAGAGACTGATTATTCCCTATTGCATTTAACAACATATTTCAGTTTTAAAAGCTATGGAGCTATTAAAATATGACTCTATCAATTAGAAAGTAATTGTGGTATGCCTTTCGTAGTGCTGAGGGATTAACTCAATTTCATCTCAATGTTGTTAACAAAGGCAGTTAGCTACTTGCTTTAAATGTGTGTTAAATGTGCGAAACATAATGACTTCATGGAGAACAGGACTGGCCCTATTGCATATGCCCAAAAAATTGGCTGTTGACTTCACTGAACTGAGTGGAAACTTTGAAATGAAGAGCAGTGCGATGGAGCCCCTAGGGCCTGTTTCCGTAGGTGGTCCACACTCAAAATTCACATACAAGCTGTGTATCCTTTTTTAAAGATCATGAAAGAGAATATTAAACTATATCCAGCTTTGGTCCTCTCTGTGTTGATGCCAACACTTGCTTTAGGGCAACTTCATAAAGCAGAGATGAGAAGTAACTGAAGCATAATGGTTGAGTGTTTGTCAGTATTTTCTGTCACCAGTAATTATTACTAGAAAATCCAACTTTGCATACTAGATATTAGACAAAAGCCAGCAATGGAGCTGGAGATGCTTGAGAAATTCTTGCTCCACAGCTGGCAGTTACTATCCTACTAGCTGGTATCCAGCATGCTCTTCATCGTAATTCACTGCACTTCGAAGAGAAATTAGTTGGTTTAATTCATCTGCAGAATACTAAATATAAAAACTGGTGGTGTCATGAAGGCCTTCCAGGGTTTTACCAGTGCATTTGGAAGTATTTGAAGAATTACAGGAAAAACAAGGACCTAGTATACAGGACTTAGTCCCCTTTCAGTTGATAGGAAGGGGGCTGTAACTGTGATTACATCTTGCTGTAGAGCACTATGAAAAGAGAGGAACAAAAGGGTTAAAGCTGATGGTGAGAAAAGGCAAGAGGGATGTTACGGCCTCCCTGGGGCGTTAGGGGGGAGGGGAGAGGAAGTGAAATCTGCTGTGGCTGGGAGTTTGCTATTTCTTTTGTTGGTAACAAGACTGCTATCCCTTGCAGACCCACTGAAGACCTGCTTTATTTATTTTATTTTTTTTCCCCCTTACCTGGCTACCATATCCCCAAGATCTGCAAAAAGGGAAAAAATAATCTTATTTGCTTTGTGTGTGTCATGTTTCACAGCCTGTGAGCCTGTGTCCCGAGTCCTGGCCCCACAGTTTGGTGGCTGCTGCAGGACTGTGATGTCTCTCTGGCACTGCCATCTACCTACGCACAGCCCTCTTTGTAGGGTTAGAGCTGCTCCCTGGTTAAGAGCTTGGGGTGGGATCTCACAGGCTAACCATGAAAGATTTCCTGTGCACCTCTTTCCTTCAGGGAATTATATCCTTAACTTCGAACTTTCCCACCTGGGCTGGGACTATCCAACCCAAAATGCAGCAAGGCTCAGGGTGACAGGATGAGAGAAAGCCACCAAGTGGTAAACAGCCGGTGCAGGCTCCTGCTAGGGCTTTTCCCTTGTAGGGTTAAAAGCCTGACAGCACTGGCAACTCACCTAGTGGAAGAGGGTCCTCAAAGATGCTAGCCTAATGCTGTGGGAACTGGGGATCTTGCTTTTAAGTAGATGGCTTGCTCCTGTATGTGTTATCCCTCTGTTTCTGAACAGAAGGATGCATAGAACAGTCACTCCTTCTCTTTTAGTTCCTTTCAAGCATGATCAGTGGCAGAAGCCTTAGATTCAACATACTGGATAATGAAAAATATTCTGATAATGTGTTTATATAGGTGGGCATTCTTTGTCTTCATTTAATGACAGATGTAACAGAACCAGTTTTTTCCCCTTCCATTCTGCCTAGTCAGGCTCCTCTGAGAAAAGGTAAAAGCAAATCTATTACATGGATGATTTCATAGAGAAAATGACATCTGATGGAACTGTTTAAAACCACAGTTTATTTATTCAGCTTTGAATGAAGGACTTGTGATGCTGTGCGTACTGTTCTGCACTTCAGAGCAATGATCTAATCTGAGATGTTTTCTCTTCTTATAAACCCCTGAAATACAGTTACAAAATAATGCAACTGAAGTAAAAGGTGAAAAGTTGTGCTAAGAAGCTTCCAAAAAGTTCTTGATAATATGTATATACTGATGACAAAGGCTGAGTGATCATCCAATACAATCTGTCCCTAAATAGAATTAACTGAATGGGTATCAACTTTTCTGCAATGTGCACTGAATTTGATTTCCACTGTTTTTGTTTCTCTCAGGGCTGTCAGAATGAGTGCACAGCTGGAGGATGTTTGGGGGAAACAGGAAAGGAAATGGCTGACTCTTTCAAGGTATGTTGTTTGTTAAAAGATGAGTGTCTGAAGCATTTCATAGAATCGTTAGGGTTGAAAAGGACCTTAAGATCATCTAGTTCCAACCCCCCTGCTGTGGGCAGGGACACCTTATGCTAAATCATATCACCCAAGGCCTCGTCCAACCTGGTCTTGAACGCTGCCAGGGATGGAGCATTCACAACCTCCCTGGGCAACCTGTTCACACATAACATGGTAGTGATTGTCGTGCAGGCATTCATAGCTACTGACATGCTTAAATGTCATAATTCTGTAAATAACTCTGTAAATAGCTGAAAATATTTTCAATGTAGAAATTTAGAGTGTTACAAAAAGAGCTTTGTTATAGTTTCAGGTAGTGTTTAAAAGGTTAGTAGTCATTAAAGGAAAAATAAAATGATATAGGTGATTTTACTTCTGTTACCTGCTTTAAAAATAATAGAAATGAAGACTGATTCCTCCATTAACTGTTTTTCCCAAAGTCTATGTTGCACTATTATTTCTTAAACTTTCGCATTAGGAATGGTGTCCAAAAGTATGTTTTTCCATCTGGTCTCAAAAGTTGCAGAGCTAAGGATCTCAGAAGGACTCCAAAGCACACCACAACCCTGGCACATTATCAGCATTCAACAAGCAAATAGGGCTATGATAATAAGCAGTGCTGAGCAGCTGCCAGGAACTCGCATGAAACTGAACCCATCATTTTTTTAATTTTTATCTTATGCTTAGAACTGAGCTCAGGATGTAACTCTTTTTCTCTGCCTCCTTCCTGAATGCAGTGCTAGTAGTTGTGAGTTCCACTTGAAGCCTATGTGGACGCAGATGTCAATGTTTAATTTTCTGTTGTAAATGTAAAGCCCATTACTATGTGCTCCTTTGAATTCTACTTCCTGTCCTCATTCCCTTTTTTTTGCCTGCCTCTCTTTTATATTTCTTTTACCTTTATTCTTTGTGTCACACATCTGCCTACTTCTTTCTCTTTCCCCTCTCTTTCCTTGTTTTACAGTCTTGAAAAGCCTCATCTATCTTTTGCAATGTTTAAAAATAGTACCCAGAAAAAGGTGACTTCACTTGTGCTTTTTCAGCAGTTCCTTTCCTGTTATTGCTATTGTCAGCAGTACATGAGATGACATTATAAAGATATGTTTTGTAACTGTCATGTTCTTCCTGATGTTTTTGGGCAGTGTCACTGCTGTGACTGTCCTCTGAACTATGCTTAAGTAGTTATTTCCATTTTATTTGACAGCCTTTATCCAGATATGGAAAATAAATGTGTTGGACTCCTTGATAAGATTTATTTTGATGCTGGTCTTACTGAAAACAGCAAAGAATTCTTGAGTCTATGTCTAAAGAATTTCACCATGTAGCAACATGTCACTTAATTCCTTTTTCCCAATTCTCAGCCCTTCCCAGTTCTTCTCTTCCTCATTTTTTTGCGTTGTTTGTCTCTGGCAGTTCTGCCCAAGAAGGAAGATTTGGGATGACTGTTCAGCCAGAACTGATTTGGAAAATGTTGACAAAACCAGGCATCCAATCAGTTTTGAAACCCTGGGAATTCACAAGTGTGGAGTTTTGTGACCTCACCTTTAATAAATAGGCAAGATAGATCGCAATAGATTCATTCAGTAGAGTGTGCTAGTGTATTAGATCAAAAATTGCTTTACAGAGAGAACACTCTTGTGTAACCACAATGTACTGTTTCCTTCCACTGGTTGAGTTAGTCCAGAAGGAAGATAGATAAAGTGTCAACAAGCTCTAACAGTGTTTGGTTTGTAGGTGAACTGGGCATAAACTGAAGGAGACTGAAGGCAGATTTAATTACACCAGCAGTCAAGCAGGTTCTCTGAATACTAGGTGGCACAAAGTTGGATTTAATCCAGTTTCCTTTCCATTGATACTTGTATGTCAGCCAAAATGCAAATCATTGTAGTGGAGAGGCCATGTGAGGGGTAAAACACATTAACAGGTGGGACAGGTGATCATAAAGGGAATAATACTAGAAAAAAACAGCTGGCTCAGGCTGAAATCTGATTTGTAAGTCTATTGCTGCCTTATGGCTCTGTTTCTGAAGATTAGCTGCAGTCACCAGAAAGGGGTTCATTTTCTTTTTAGAAAATATTGTGCTGAGTGTTTTTGTGTGTATGAAAGTTTACAATGGGGATACAGGTACTGATTGAATGATATGAATTACTTGCAGTCTCTTTAACTTCATTGTCAAATTAAAAAGAAAATCGTTCTGAATGAAGGAAAAATAACACCAGACAATGGCGAATAAAATGGCCTGGATTCATTCTAGGGAACTTCACAAACATATCTGTGGAAGGCAGTTACGTTACAATTTAAGAAACTATAGCTAATAATATTTCAAAGCATCAAGCTGACCCATGGGGCTGACTGTGCTGAAGAAAACTGTGATTTTGTGCCAGTAACCCAAGTAATCCAAGATTGTGGGAATGTAGAAAAAAGGGTATGGTTTTGGTTTATGCTTACATAAAACATATTGTTTACAGGGGATGGTGTCCAACATTTGAATGCCAGACTAGCTCTCTGAAGACATTTCTTTTTGGAATGCAGTGCTGTGCTTTTTAGGTGGGGTGTGCTCCTTTGAATTTTACTGTATTTCTGCTTGAGTTGGAAAGGTAGACTCAAAGTCCCTATATGCTGGGAGGGAAGGAATGAATGCTACTTTGACCTTTCTCTGCTGGCTGCTCACTGTTTTCAGTTCTCATGGGCTTCTCTTAAGTCAGTAGCTAAGAAGTAGCATGTTTGTTTTAACTGCTACTGAACTACCTTAACTGGACTCCTGCAGTTAAAAATCTCATCCTGACAGGTCTGTGATTTACAAGATACTTAAGGTATGGCATTTAGAGTTGACATGTGACCGGTGATCTTGCAACAGATAAGAAACATGGAAGGAAGTAGTGATTATGCTAATTTCCTGTATTGTAGAAAATGTCAAATATCCAGGATTTATCTACCCAGCTCCTTCCACTAGATTGAAATTTTCCTCTCCCCTAACTGTTGTATCGACATGTTTATTTATTTATTTATTTATTTAAATAACTGGCTGTGGTTTGTGACCCTAACCTAAGAAGCTGCACCAGGGGAGGTTTAGATGGATATATAGGAAATAAGTTATTCACTGAAAAGGTAGTCAGACATTGGAACAGGCTCCACAGGAAAGTGGTGGAATCAGCATCCCTGGAAGCGTTCAAAAAAACGTGTAGTTTAGGCCCTTAGTGATATGGTTTAGTGGTGGACTTGGCAGTCCTGAAGTAATGGTTGGACTTGATGATCTTAAAGGTCTTTTTCAACCTAGTTGATTGCTTGTTGTCAGCATTGGATCTCTAGGAAGGGAGTATGAAACCAGTAATGGGAAGTGGAGTCATCCTCTGTACCACTGAATATATTTTGGAATGTTGAAGCAAGAAATGTACATATCTAGTTTTGCTGTTATACATGTTTCTTTGCATTCAGTAATACCATGAAATAGCACGCAGTTATGTCTTAGGCACTAAATTTTTATGATTAACATTCTTATTGTACTGACAAGATTGAATGTTGTATGTATGGATGTATTTTAGCTCTGACATTGAATGCATAATGCTTGGTCTTAAGCAACTAAAGGCATCTATGCCTTTTCTTACCCTCATGTTATTAATCCATATTCAGAGAGATGATTTTAGTTGCATAACTTTTTGTCATGGAATACATTTTCTCTTTGAGAGACTGGGACACTTTGAGAAGGTGTTTATATTTCTTTGTGTTTTAATGACCTGAAGCTATGCAGAATTAGTTGGGCATCTTAATGGTGAAAAATTAAGTTATTTTGTTTTTTTTTTTGTTTGATTTTTTTTTTTATGGCCTGTTTTGTGTACCAGAATAGTGCAAACCATATACATATACCCAGAATAAAGCAGGATAAAGTAGCTGTAGTTTACAAGTCTATCTGGATTGACTTGTTAATATGAAGACTCATGGTAGTGGAATGAAAAACGTTTAAGTGGAGCTTCTGTATCTCAGTGTCTCCTCATTCTACTCTAAATAACTGAGTACTTCTACATAGTCTTCTGCAGGCAGACCCAGCCTGCCCAGGCTCTGAGCCAGTGGGATGTGAGCCCATGGCAGACTGGAAGCTATACACGCAGTTTAGTGCAGTGCTGTGCTTAAACTAATAATCCCTGTTGAGATTTTGGACTTGCTAGACTGAATACAGTGCTATGCTAATATGTTTGTATGGCTTCCAGTTCAAACTTGGCTCACATCTAGCAAATACATGTTTCAGTATTTGTTTCTTTTATTGCTATAACGTTTTAGAGCCCAAGCACTGAACTAACTCAGACTTTAAATTAGAAGGTAAAGATTACTTCCACACTATAGGTATAACCTACCAATAAACAACCAGTTTTCCCACTGCCTCAAAAACTGCTCTGTATTTTACCTCTTATTTACCTTATTTCCAGTGCAGGCATTTGTGGTTCAAATTGAGAGATTACCAGTGGAAGTTTTACAGACATTGATCTTGTCCTTAGAGGTCTGTTCACACAAATGTAATTGTTCCTTGTCGTAGGACCTTTAGTTGTGTATTTTAAAACATGCAGCCTTTGCATGAAATGACTGTGAACTTGGTTGGCTCTATGCAAAACATACTGTGCTGATGCTAGCACTCTGCCTCCTTTTATGTTCTTGACAAAGAATGCAATTGCATTAAAGATAAAGAGCAGTAGCTCCCCTAAATGTTTCTATATCAGAAAGCTGCTTTTATATAAACTGTCTTGAAGCAATAAAAGATGACCAGTTGTATATCTATCTACATTTGTGTGTGTATATAACATTATATAATAAAGCATCTCCAAGTATTTTTTGTCTTAGAATCATAGGCAATCTAGTCCATCCTTCTACTGAAAGTGTGACTTTAATCAGCACCAGACCAGGTCATCTGTGGCTCTGTCTGTTGAATGTAGTGCTGTGCTATTCTCTAAGAAAATGGTTTTGTTCTG